TAAGATGATATCTCATTGTGGTATTTGCCTGATAATTAGTGATGTGGAGCATCTTTTCATGTGCCTGTTGGCCATCTGAATTTCTTCTTTGGAGAATTATCTGATCATATCTTCTACCAATTTTCATTTGGGTTATTTGCTTTTTGGTTGTTCAGGTGTGTGAGTTCTTTATATATTTTGGATGTTGACCCCTTGTTGAATATGTCATTTACAAATATATTCTCCCATACTGTAGGATGCCCTTTTGTTCTGCTGATGGTGTCCTTTGTTCTACAGAAGCTTTTTACCTTGATGTAGTCCGAAGTGTTCATTTTGCTTTTGTTTCCCTAGCCTGGGAAGATGTATTCAGTAAAAGTTACTCATTTTTATATTCAGGAGATTTTTTCCTATGTTGTCTTCTAAGAGTTTTATGGTTTCATGATGTACATTCAGGTCTTTGATCCATTTCAAGTTTAAGATGGATTGTGTATGGAGTTAGACAATAATACAGTTTTACTCACTCGAGTGTAGCTGTCCAGTTTTGCCAACACCAGCTGTTGAAGGGCCTCTCATTTCTCCACTGTGTGTCCATGGGTCCTTTGTCACATATTAATTGACCATATATGCTTGGGTATGCATCTGGGCTCTATAGTCTCTTCCATTGGCCTATGGGTTTGTTCTTGTGCCAGTACCAAACTTTTTTGATAACTGTGGCTTTGTTGTAGAGCTGGAAGTCAGGGAGCGTAATCCCCCAGCTTTATTCTTCCTTCTCAGGATTGCTTTGGCTATTCAGGGTCTTTTGTGGTTCCATATGAATTTTAGAACTATTTGTAGTAGTTCATTGTAGAATGCTTTTGGTATTTTGATAGGAATTGCATTGAATCTGTAGATTGCTTTAGGCAGGATGGCCATTCTGACAATATTAATTTTCTCTGTCCATGAGTATGGGATGTGTTTCCATTTATTTGTATCTTCTTTTATTTCTCTCATGAATGTCCTGTCATTTTCAGAGTGAAGGTCTCTCACATCTTCCTTAGGTTTATTCCTAGATATTTTATTCTTTTTTATGCGATTGCAAATGTAATTGTTTTCCTGATTTCTCTTTCTGATTTTTCATCATTGGTGTATAGCAATGCAACAGATTTCTGTGTATTAATTTTGTATCTTGCAACTTTGCTGAATTCAGATATTAGATCTAATAGTTTTGGAGTGGATTCTTTAGTTTTTTTTATGTAAAATATCATGTCATCTGCAAACAGTGACAGCTTAACTTCTTTGCCAATCTAGATTCTTTTTATTAGTTTGTGTTATCTCATGGCCATGGCAAGGAGCTCCAGACTTTGTTGAATAGAAATGGAGACAGTGGGTATCCTTGTCTTCTTCCCCATCTTAAAGGAAAAGCTTTCAGCATCTCACTGTTAGGTATGATGTTAGCTATGGGTATGTCATATATGGCCTTTATTATGTTGAGGTTCTTTCCCTGTAAACCCATTTGTTGATAATTTTTATCATGAATGGATGTTGCATTTCGTTGAAAGCTTTTTCGGCACCTAAGAAAATGATCATGTGTATTTTATTCTTCTTTTTGGTGGTGTGGTGGATGATGTTGATGGATTTACTAATATTGTACCATCCTTGCATCCCTCGAATAAATCCTACTTGATCATGGGGGATGAATTTTCTTTACATATTTTTGAATTCAGTTTGCTAATATTTTGTTGAGTATTTTTGCATGTACATTCATCAGGGACTTTGGTCTGTAATTTTCATTCTTTGTGTTGTCTTTTACTAGTTTTAGTATTGGAGTTATGCTGGCCTCATAGAATGAGTTTGGAAATATTCCCTCCTCTTTTATTTTTTGGAAAACTTTAAGAAGGATGGCTATTAGCTATTAAGTAAATGTTTGATAAAATACATCATAGAAACAATCTGGTTCACAGTTTTCTTCTTAGGTAGTTCTTTTATTACCAGTTAAATTTCATTGCTGGTAATTGGTCTGTATAGATTTTCTGTTTCTTTCTGGGTCAGTCTTGGAAGGTTGTATTTTTCTAGAAAGTGGTCCATTTCTTCCAGGTTATCCAGTTTCTTACCATGTAATTTTTCATAGTATTCTATCATAATTCTTTGTATTTCTGTGATGTCCACAGAGATTTTTCCTTTCTCATTTCTGATTCTGTTTATGAGTGTAGACTCTCCTTTTTTCTTGATAAGTCTGGCTAGGGGTTTATCTATTTTGTTGATTTTCTTGAAGAACCAGCTCCTTCTTTCATTTATTCTTTCCATTGTTTTATTCTTCCCAATTTTATTTATTTATGGTCTAATCTTTATTATGTCCCTCCTTCTGCTTACTTTGGGCCTCATTTGTTCTTCTTTTTCTAGTTTCTTTAACTGTGAGTTTATACTGTTCATACGGGATTGCTCTTCTTTCCTGAGGGAGGCCTGTATTGCAATATACTTCTCTCTTAGCTCGGCCTTTACTGCGTCCCACAGATTTTGTGGTGATGAATTATTATTGTCATTTGTATCCATGTATTGCTTGATCTCTTTTTTTATTTGGTCATTGCTCCATTGGTTATTTAGGAGAAAAATATATTTTATATTAAAAGGAAATCATTTTAAAGTTGAATTAGGAAGGAAAAAATAAACCAAGAGTCATAGGAACAAATCCTCTCTGACCAACTCCTCCCACTGACCCCAAAGATGCACAGAGCTGCTCCAGTTAGTGGACAACGTAGGCTCCCTGAGTAGTTACCTAAGTTCTGCACAGAGCTGCAGATCCTAAGCATACTTCTCCTGTGCCAGACCATCATCTCTATCTCAGCAGACTTGCTCCTGCTCAGCCAGCCATACTGACTCCCCAGAACACAATGCAAAACAGCACTTTGTCCCTTAGAAGCCTCTGGAAGTTTCTGCATGCACTATGTTCTGCCAAAGCCCCAACCTCCTGTGATCTACACTGAGCCCCCTTCTCAGCTGAGCTGGAACAGAGACCTCTGAGTTCCTGATCTGTTTATACTTCTTTCATGGTTGAATGTAAATATTTCCCTGTAGTGTAAGTTTGTTATTGTGACAATATGCTGTGTTTCGGTGGCAGTGAGTAGAATTTGTATGAATAGCAGGACGTTGCCATCCAAGGTAACACCATCCATAGCTTGATAAAGAGCCCACAGAACCCATTCTACTCCATTTCATGAGTTTCTTTCCCTCTTCGAAGTTCACTGAGATGAAAAACTTCCCACAGGTCTGAACTTACTGCTAGGTTTATAAACTCAGTTAACATTTCCTTCTAAAAAGAGACCCATGGTTCCAGTGTATTCATCTCATTTGAAAAATGAAAAAATGAGCACATAAAATCTTTCAAGTTCCTGTATACAGAAATATACTGCAGGAAAAGGAGGGTATTATTATTTCATACCATCACAATTTCCCCTGAAGGCATTTCAGTTCAATGTGACCCACTAATGTTAGCATCCACAACCCCCCAACCATGTGCTGTGTGTGCTCAGCTATCACCTTTGTGTTCAAATTTCTCTTTCCCTCAATGCCACACCATCCCTGCATGGCATACGCTATCAATCTTTCTTCAGACACATCTCAAAACAACTCTTCTTAACTTCCCAGGTGAGAGCAACATCATTCTTTTACCCTGCAATAAGACGCTAATGCAGGTGAAAATGCTTGCAAAATTATAAAATTCTATGAAAACTGAAATACCCTACTAACACCTTTCAATACACAAATGAACTCAAAGGGTGCTGCTGTAATCCTGCAGTGTACACTTAACATTGTCCCCACTGATAGAGGAAGCACAACGGCTTGGCTCACACAGGTTTCCTGTCAAGTATTTTTTACATGGAAGGAATACAGGGTTCACTTAAAATATTGTTTATGATAATCAACTAAAATAAATAATTCCTTAACAATAATAGGCAAACTAGTCTTACAGGAATACAAAGTATCACTAATATCTGCCCCAGCCCATGTTAAAGGGCCCTACTCTTTGTGTGTACAGAACATTCAGAGTTATTCAGTTAACACCAGGACTTGCATCTCTATTGAGAGTTGACATGTATATCTGTTGTTCCTCCTCTTAGGGGACATCCAGTTTAGGTAGAGAAGCTTATATCCCCCTGCCCCCTCCCTTTGCAGTGCCTGGAGACAACTTTTCATAACAGGAGATGAGTATTTTGGATTCTTGATATTTCTATTCTCTTCTCATCCCTATGTGATCCACACTGCCCAGGAAAGAGTGTCCTGCGGCCATGGCACTTGTCTGGTAACAACAAAGTGGTTCATAATATCAAACAAGTATCAATGATGACTGATAGTTCTGTAAGGAAATGAAGGGCACTTCTAAAAAGGACGATATGTGAAGGAAAGCAGTCACTTTCAGTTCCTTGCTATGATGCTTCATGTCTCTAACTGTGGTTTGGGTGTTACTTCTTGTCATATATCTGTTTGCTTTCATCAAACTGACAGTGGTATCACAGAGTAAAAGGTCCTGCCTCTTTGGGTAGACTATCATGCAACTTCTCAGTGTAGGAAAGCTGAGCAGTTCCCATCATCGAGAATTAAAGTGGAAAGTTATCATATACATTTTATTTAAAGCTGTGGAATTATATAATATGACCAAGGTAATAAGTGCAGAATGAAAGGAGGAAAAGGCTAGGGCAGATACTTCCAGGATCGGCACTTAGAGGTTAGACATATAAGGAGAAGCCAGAAGGAGGAAGGAAAGAGTGTCTCACATGCCCATTGAACCATTAGAGAAAACACTAAATAATGCAGGGATTGATTTTTCTGACGAAACAAAAAGGCCTAATCAACAAGTTAGGTTAACTCATTACCTCAATGTCATCATGGCAACTTGATTAAGTGCCGATGACAATGATCAGGAAACAAGAAGAAATTGATGATGAATTGAAGAAAGGAAATTATTGCTCAAGTCGAATCTCTGAGGAGAGAACAAAGTTTTCAAAGAGCACTAGTGACATTTTAAACCAATTCGTTCTCTGTTGCAGGGGCTGCTCTGGGCACTGGAGTATATCTAACAGCATCCCGGTCTCATCTGCCTCCAAACCAGCAGCACCACCACAGCCCAAGCCAAAAGTAACTCTAGATGGCTCCAAATGCCTTGTGGAGTCAAAATCACCAACACTTGAGGCACACTGGGGTCGATCAAAACTGACCCTGACCATGAGTGGAGGGGTTGATCTCTAATAGGGGCGGACACAGTCTACACACTGCAATTTTTCTTTTAAGGAGGGAGGTCACTGAGGGGACACCAGTGAGGGTAACTTTCTGACTTTTAGGTCATTACCTGGGGCTGGTGGAGTCACCGGACAGAATGTTGTTGAGGGTTCCAAAGAGGAAGGACAGTATCATGTATTCATTATGCAATCCAAGAAAGCAAATTATTTAATGTAGTAGAATTTTATAACTTTAGCCATAAATTTAAAGACCAGATAAACTCTGAGGTATTTATGTTTTATCCTAGTCACTCAGATCTCTGAGCAGGGTAGGAATGCATTCCAATTGTGTTGTAAGAGTTAGGGCTTGCCAGCTGATCATAACATACACAAATGGAGCTAGTGGCTTTAGAAAGAAGGGAGTATAGGGCTAAAATACACCATTTTAGACCCACTTCTGCAGGAGACTGTAGGGGGTTTATCCTGAATGATGCTGACCCAATCTGGGTGTGAAATCTAGAAAGGAACAGGTAAACTAGGAAGCAGTAGTCTGAAGGAGGTGCTCTAAGTCACGATATAATTAGTGCAATTATTGGTGAGTTCTTCATTCAAGTCCCCTACCTGTGGGCCACTGTTCTCACCACTGTGAACACAGCCCTGAACACAAACCTCTACCTCTCTCAAGGGATTTACAATCAGGTCAGAAATATAGATAATAAACATATATATTTATTACACCAGGGAGCAATGAGTGCAATAATTATTTGTTAGTTTGCTGGCCTCTCCTGGTCTGGGCCTGTCTGAATATCGTTCAGATGAACCTTGAAATCAACATCACCATGGGTGATAGAAGCTGAGGTTGAGAGTAAGGAAAGGAACCAAAAGCTGAAATTTTAATGGATGAAGATGACTGAACCAGGAAGGATGGTCAAGAGGGAGAGAGAATCACTCTGTAGAGAAGACTGACTTGTTCTGAAGATTGTTTGATTTTCATGAAGTTGAGCTTTAAGGGAGAATGGGAAATAGGTTGGAAGTATCCAAGGAAGCACGGAAGGTGTGAGGAGGGAAAGGAAGAAGGAATTGATAGAAGTTTATGCATATACTTAGTGATAGAGTGAATTTAAAATTAGAGACACCTATTACATAATTATGATACATTTTATATAATATACACTTAAATGTAAATATATGAATGGATATATATGCTTTAGCTTTTAAATGATCTGTGGCATATACATAATCAAAAAAAGGCAGGTGAATATAAAATTGAATATTATAAATAAGAATGCAAATGTTATCGAATATTACAGTGTGCAAAATACCACATTATCTAACTGGATGCATATAGAATCAATGTAATGAGGAAATGAAATAATGAAAAGAGCAGTCTTTCAACAGGCATAGTCGGCTTCCTACTTCGGCTTTTTCCTTCTTCAGCCCTTTGGAGCCAAGAAGTGTGGAATGTGGCTACAGAAGAGAAGAGATGGTCTTCTGTCAAATTGAATTTCTCAAAAGTTGTTTTCAAGGAAGGAGACTGGATCACCTGTGTTCACATTTGTAGTTGTGTGGCAATGCTCTTCAGAATAAATCAGGCATACCAACTGCTGAGTCCAGAAGGTTCCTGTAAAAGAAATAATTTTATTTTCAACATGAAGAAGTTCTCAAAATGTTCCAAACTATAGCATCAGTGTTTAAGTCATGTATATTGTTATTCAACTAGGGATAATGATAATGTTGTCTGCGTGGATTCTTTAAGATATGTAAGGTTCAGTAAAGGTAAAAGACAATAAAGACTGCTTTTGTTTCACTTTTAAGATGATGGTCCATTCAAAACTGCCAGGGCGTTTGTCAACAAATGCATTCCTTTAATCATTCTCTGTGCTTTCTCTCTTTCATATGGTATCTTTACATGCCTACCTCTATATTTCATCCTCACTTCCACTTCCTGATCATTAGCTAATTAAGCACAGATAAAAAGAATCCCTCCAAAGAAGTAACTTTTAATCTTTCCCACCTTCCCGCTGTTTTCGCACTTTGCCATGATCTCTACTTAAGGAAATGGTGTTTACTACAAATAACTAAAGGAGAACACGTGACACTCACATACACAGAAAGGGAAAGATGCTGCCTGAAGTTGGACCCTGGTTTTCAGTGGGATCCGTGAAACTCTTAGGATGACTCTTTCAGGTAATTCCAATTAAAGTGGACATTTCTGAAGAAATAGTTGGGTGTGATTGCCTGTGTTTTTTTTTTTCCTTACATTTCTTCACAAGCTACATATATGGGACTAGTGAGATTTAAAACACACCCGCTAAGAAGGGCTGCTTCTGGTATTTCAACAAACCAAACAGACTTACCCCACCTTTCAGGATAGTAATGTGAGTTCTGGAGTGAGTAAACATACGGGCCCCTCATCAGTTCCCGGGCTAACCTTCCTTCCCAAAGGCTTCCGAGTGAAGACTATGACCACATGTGCCTACATCCTAATATAGCTGGCGCTAAAACTCAATGTTCTGGGGCTCTGAAAGGTTTCTCATATAAATATTCCTTTCCCTGATAACAGATACTGCTCCTGAGAGGTCTCACAGCTTCCTGATGACAGAGGGGATAATTATAATGTCCTGATGGGGCTACAGGTCTCCAAAGATTCAAGAAAATGAGGACTGCAACAAACTGTCCCCCAGGCAAAATAGACAGCATGTCTTCTCCTCCTCCTCCTCCTCCTTCTTCCTCTGCTTCTGCTCCTTTTCTCAGCTTGTTGTTCTCTTTCTACTTTCTGATTTTTGCCATTTTTGGTATTGAGATGTTAAATTATATTACATTTTCTGCAGTTCATGCTGTATTATCACCACACCTCATCCAATCTCAAGCACTGCCTTATCTGTTTATTTCTCTTATTCTCCTTCCCACTTCCATTATACACCTTCCCTCACCATAGGTGACAGTTCCTGGGGCTTCTAGGGCCTGTGTCTTTTCTTGTGATGTATTGCTATGTAATGAGTATGCTCTGGACTTGTATTTTCAAACTATAAGCATTATTTCCCGCTCCTTGCCTGCATTCAGCATCACTCACATTCCTAAAACTGTCAATCTAATAGACATAAAGTAGCAATTCATTCTTTACCAACTTTACATTCCTTTGTTTATTTTGGTGGGAAGTGGTTATCTTCTAAAACTTTCAAGTTCATTACTTTGGTTCTTTTTACACTCACACTGCTGCCTTCTACTTCTGATTTATTGTCAAATATTCTAGATATTTACCCACTGAAAATTTTAGATATAGCAAATATTTTCTCTCATTCTGTAATCTATTAATTTTGGTCAGGGGATTTTTTGTTATGCAGTATCTACAAAAACTAATTTGATGTAACTGAATTTATCAGATGTTTCACCTGTGATTGCTGCTTTGGACATTTGGCTGAGAAGCTCTTCCCCACGCAAGGTCACAGTGACTTTTCTTCTAGATTTTCCTAACAGAAATTCCTTTGTAGCTTATGCTTGATATTAGTGTCTTAAATAGAACTAGAATTCTCTCTAGTGTATGGTGATAGGTATCCTGTTGTATTTCTAATATATAGTGAGGCAGCTCTCCCAAGAATCAAGAATGCATCCTTTCTCCATTAATAGTTGAGCCATGCTTAAATTTGTATGGAGTCTCTCATAAATCTGAACTTGTGACTCCAGACTTTTCTGTCCCTGTGACCTATTTGTTCTTGTGTACATACTATACTGGTTTCCTAAGTGTGGCCTTGCAAAGAATAAAAAGACATAAATGTGCAAATATGAGGTATGTTACCAGGTGATAAATATATTGTGGAGACAAAGTAAAGCAGCAAATAGAATTCTAATTTTTTGAGTGATGCTGAGTATTTAAATACTACCATCCAGAATTGCTTCACCAAGAATGCAATATTTAAATAAGGAGAGATAGGTGGGAAAAATGTACTTTATGCAAATATGTTGGGAAGTGCATTACAGTAAAAGAACCATTCAGTACAAAGAACCTGACATAGGAATATGACCTTTATATTTCATTAAGAGCAAAAAAACCATTGTTTCTCTGTTAAAATATTTAAAATATTTAACAAATGCTTAAGGAAGTAATGCCGGCCATTCTGAAACTATTTCAAATATTAGAAGATGAGGAATACTGCCAAATTCATTTTACAAAGCCAGCATTACATGAAAATAAAATCACACACAAGAAAAGAAAATTACAGGCCATTATTTTTGTTGAACATTTGTGAAAAAGCTACGCATGAGAAATTAGCAAACTGAATTCAATAATACATTGATAGCACCATACTTCATGGTCGAAATGGATTCATTTGAGTGTTGCAAGAAGGGATCAACATCCACAAATCAATCAATGTGATGCACCACATTAACAAAGAATCATCTAAAATATTATAAGCTCAATAGATGAAGAAAATAGCATTTGACGCAGTTCAACATCCATTCATGAAAAACTCCAAGTATAGCATGCATAGAAGAAGTGTAACTCAACAAAATGAAGTCCAAAGATGACAAACCTATGGCCGACATCATACTCAGTGGTAAACTGAATGCTTATCCTCTAACATCAGGAACAGTACAAGCGTGTTCACTCTTATCTGTCTTTTGGGACATCCTAGATAGAGCAATTAGCTAAAAAAAGGAATAATGTCATCCTAAGTGGAGAGGAACAAGTTAAACTATCTCTATTTTCAGGTTATATGCTATTATATAAGGCAGCAAAGCCCTAAAACATGATTTAAACTTTTAGAACTAAATCAATGAAATCAGTATAGTTGCAGGATTTAAAATAAATATACCAAATAAAATTGCATTTCTAGGCACTAACAACAAAGTATAATAAAGAGAAATTAAAGACACAATCACACTCATGGAAGTATCAGAAAGAAGAAAACAGAGAGGAATAAGTTTAACCAACATCATGAAAAACTGGTATAGAAAATGTTAAAATATTGACAAAAGAAATTGAAGGTAACACAAATAAATTGGAGATATTCCATGTCATATACTGGAAGAATTAATATTGTTAATGTGATCACACACCCTAAAGCAATATAAAATTCAGTGCTTTTCTTATCAGAATTCCAAATGAGTATTTCACAGAAGTAGAAAACACCATCCAAAATAACTAGGAACAACAAAATTCATGGAATAAACAAAGCAATCTTAAGAAAGAATGAAGCTGGGTGTGTTATCACATGTCTTGATTTCAACTTATGTTATAAAGTTATACTAACCAAACAGTACAGTATTGGCAGAAAAATAGACACATAGATAATTGGAACAGAATGGAGAACCTAGATATAAACCCATGCATATATGATCAATTAATTTATGAAAAAAGCTGAGCATATACACAGGAGAAAGAATAATGATGGAAATAAGGATGTCCACAAGCAAAAAGATGAAAATGCACAATTATCTTACACAAATCGGGGAAATACAAACAAAATGGATTAAAGGTGTGAATGTAAGATCTGAAACCAAACAAACTTCTCAGATGAAAGCATAGGAAGTAAGCTCCTTGATGCTTGGATTGCAATATTTTTTCGATATGACCGAAAGCAAATGTAAAATAGCAAAAATTTTAAAAGTACATACCTTAAGTTAAAAAAGGTCTGTTCAGCAAAGTAACCCATCAACAAAATGTAAAGGCAGTCTAGTAATAGGAAGAAAATATTTGTAACTCATATATCTGATAAGGAGTTAATATCCAAAATAAAGAAATCACTAACAACAGTATACAACCATCCAGGNAACAATTCAGTACAAAGTACCTGAGATAGGAATATGCCTGTTATATTTGATTAAGAGCAAGAAAACCAGTGTTTCTCTGTTGAAATATTTAAAATATTTTAACAAATACTTGAGGAACTAATGCCGGCCCTTCTGAAACTATTCTGAATATTAGAAGACAAGGAATACTGCCATTATTCATTTTACAAAGTCAGTATTACATGAATATAAAATCACACACAAGGACACTACAAGAAAAGAAAATTACAAGCCATTATTCTTGATGAACATTAATGAAAAGCTATGCATAAGAAATTAGCAAACTGAATTCAATAATACGTTGAAAGCACCATACTTCATGGTCAACCTGGATTTATTTGAATATTGCAAGAAGGGATCAACATCCACAACTCAATGTGATGCACCACATTAACAAAGAAGGAACATCTAAAATATTATCAGCTCAATAGATGAAGAAAAGAATGTTTGACACAGCTCAACATCCATTCATGAAAAAAATCCAGGTATAGCATGCATAGAGGAAGTGTAACTCAACAAAATAAAGTCTATAGATGACAAGCCCATGGCTGACATCATACTCAGTGGTAAACTGAATGCTTATCCTCTAACATCAGGAACAGTACAAGTGTGTTCACTCTTATCTGTCTTTTTGGGACATCCTAGATAGAGCAATTAGTTTAAAAAAGGAATAATGTCATCCTAAGTGGAGAGGAAGATGTTAAACTGTCTCTATTTGCAGGTTATATGCTATTATATAAGGAAGCAAAGCCCTAAAACTTGATTAAAAACTTTTAGAACTAAATCAATGAAATCAGTATAGTGGCAGGATTTAAAATAAATATACCAAATAAAATTGCATTTCTAGGCACTAACAACAAAGTATAATAAAGAGAAATTAAAGACACAATCACACTCATGGAAATTTCAGAAAGAATAAAACAGAGAGGAATAAGTTTAACCAAGGTCATGAAAAACTGGCATGGAAAATGTTAAGATATTGACAAAAGAAATTGAAGGTAGCACAAATAATTGGAGATATTCC